TATTGCCAAATAAGAACTATATTCACTCATGTCGAAAAGTATAGGCCAAGTGTGTTTCAATTGTTCTCCTTGTTGAGAAGAGTGTCAGCGTTATAGGAGAAATAAATTGTGAAAACTAAATGTAGGCTATGGATAAAAGTTTCCGTTGTGAAAATTATGAAAACCGTGACGTAAAACCTGATTACAAAAGATCAGAAAATTGAAAAACGAGGCCGATAGGCCGAGTACACTCATATCTAAATAAGTATTATGGGCAGTGATCCTATTGTTTCTACACTCCAACGCTACTCTTCGAAATATCATCGAGCGGTATTGCAAGAGTAAAGTCCCATATGTATGTACCTTCCATAAAAATTATGAATGTTTTGAAATGTTAGTATGCTTTATACGACATATATTAGTTTATATTTTTGGAGTTTTTGCTCCATCTTTCACCGATTATTGGCGCTCATAAATCCAAATTGTAATGATAAGGCAAATGCTATCTGTAATATAAATTGACCATGTACACTATATAATGCGTGAATAAATATAAGTGGTGATTATACATTAATAATTTATGAACATTAGTACCCATAAACCTTCTGCAGCAGAACGCATAAAAATTTTACTAACCCCATTGTGTCTGCGTCAGCGATTCACCATCCTCAATATTATTGATAACCTTTGACTGCCACCATCATATGTGAAAATCATATGTGTACATCATATGTGAAACTCTGTGGTCCAGTGTCAACTGACGTATACTCTTCTGGAGCACATGAAACTTTCGGCTTGTCACCTGCACAGAATATGCACGTTTCCATGACGATGGCAGCCTCTGGGATAATTGGATCTGAGTTGCCCGCGCCCCACGTGACGAAATCAACCAATTGGTTTATCAAATATTTTATATTTTTTTGAGAGAGAATTCCTTTCTCTGAGAAAGAAGTTCGAATAACTGCATTTGCATCACTTTCAGTAGCATACCTACCGAAAAAAATGTAAACAATATAGCCTGCGCAGATCCCTGCACATAATACTTTGTGTAAATATAAATTCAAATAAATAACCCATATTATGTAAAAATTCTCAGCTTTCAAGGAGGAGTACTATTATTCTGCTACGAACCACGTGACCACAACTCGGGCATTTCGTTTGAAAAGCCATACCAGACGTTAGCCGCTATGTTGCATGGAGAGCGAGAAGTTTTGAGAAACATTTTGAAAGTGGCATAAAATGACAATTTTCCGATATGACCAACCAAAAGTAACACGATAAAGGTGTACTTGAAATTAAAATATGCAATATTAAAAAAATGTGTATCTGTTTCTTTTCAATGATTTGTAACTGTGATCATTTTGGCCCTTAAAATTCCCGTTAATATAATGACCCAAACTGGTGCCTGAAACTCATTGGCTGAAGTCACTACGATGAGCAAGATCCCACCCATCTCTTGCCACCATGGATGTTCCGATTGTGTTTGGTTAAAACCTTCGTTTATATTTAACGTTCGCTTTGGTACATAATCGATGTAACACCTATACGATTTCGAGTTCATGTCGTGATTGAACCTGTGTTTCAATACTTGTACAAAAATTCCAATCACGTTTCGACGTAAATTTCAAATTTTTGAATTTATAATATTGGTCTTAATTAATTTTTACTATAGTTCACATTGTTTAAAATTCTGAAAAAAATATGTGTTATAGAATGTTATCAGACACATTCTAGGAGAAAAAACTGAGACAGTATTCTACGTTATGTCGAAAATCAATTTCGAAAATTTAATTTTTTCTATTTGATTTTGATGCCAAAATTGGTTGAAATAATACATTGAAAGTCAACTATATTTCTCTGTTTCTCCAATTTAGTTTGGCTTGATACATCCAATAGATGGTGAGAAATAATAAAACTTGAAAAACCCGTTTCTCATTGTATCTCTGTTACAAATTGCCATAGGAGGATAATGTTGTGGGAATCTACAATATTTTTATTCTCTTTCACACGAGTATCGCGATTATCGATTTAGTTTGAGGGCACTTTTCATTCACTTATTCGGCTATACCCTAAACTTAAATTCTAAACTAATATGTGAGCTCATTATTTAAAGAGTAAAACAGCGTAGAGATATATTTGTGTCTTTAAACCAAAACGAACTTGAGGTCCCCCGAGTGTGGAACTTATTTTGATTTTTATTATTTTTAATTCTTACTAATTTTGTGTTCGTTTTTCAAATTTTATTGAATAATTTTATTGTGCATATGGTTGTCGTTTTATTAATTTCTGCATTATGATTTTAATAAATCAGTAACAGAATAATATACAACATTATATTGATATTGCATGTACAATTAACTTTTATGAAAAATGGGGTGTTGGAAGATTTTTATTTTCGTCTTCAGGGAGCGGTCGTCCAAAAATGTTTGGGAACCTCTGATTTAGAGCCATCATACATATACCATGCTCAACTCTCATTAGTTACGAGTCTAGCACATCTGGATTCAAAGCTAACAAAGCTGGAGTTCGTTTTCGGAGGAAAGAATTAAAAAAACTAATTTCACCCCGGGGTAATTAACAGTATTACGTAAAGCATTCACATTAAAGTGCTCATTAAATTTAGCCTCATCGTAAATCAATTTTGTGGAGAAGTCATATTTTTTCCTGTAAGTGAATATCATTTTTGACGAACACTAAGAAATAAACAGCTGGTTGTTCATCTCCCGAAACGAACTTACGGCCGGGACGTAGATCTTGCAAATCTTGCAGATCTTGCAAGAGCAGGGGAGGTTGGAAAAACCTATCGAGTTCGGCTGAGAAAAATGGTCGACGAACTCTGTTTTATTGGGAGATGGGCAAATTATATGGTCACAACATCTACACTTGGTATATGTTTGAAAAATGGGGCAATTGTGTAGAAAAATAACACTGAGTAATTTGTAGAGGGTGTTTAACATCCTTTTGACACATTTTCTTCTTTATTAAAATATGTAATGTACTTTTGCACTTCAATAATCGGCTCAATTTAAATAACCTTATATACAAGGTTGAGAAATACGACCAGTTCAGCGCTAACAGCGGTGGCGAGAGGTTGTGACACAGCGCTACCTCATTAGTTCAGTCTGCGTCAAGCTGAGCACACAGTGAGTTGCTAGTGCTGCGTGAAGTGACCACAGTGTTTTCGAAAGTTATTCCATCTCTTTAACCAATAGTGAAAATAGATAAAAGTGATTTACCATGCTCTGACCTCGGACAGAGCATCAAAGAAGCGATGAAGGCCGTGAACAACTACGGCCGACGCGATGCAACATTCATTGGAGTACCAACTACAGCTCACCATAGATCAGCAACATCGGCAAATACAGGCGCTGTAGCATCAACTTCAGGAACAACTGGTACAATTTCAACAGCAACTACAGGACCTTCAAACGCAAGTACAAAACAACCAACGCTAGTTGGCCGCCCTTGCAAATTAGTGCACCTGCCCTAACTGAACAAAGTGAGCCCAAGAGCCAAAAACAGCGGAAACGGTGATTAAAATTCCTCCTATAATACACAAGCGGAAAACTTCCAACTATTAATAAATGACATTAAACGTGTAGTTAAAGAATATTTCACAACAAAAATAGAAGCAGAGAGAGTGAAAGTTAAACTTAATTCAATAGACGATTTCAGAGATCTTCGTAAATGTTGCAACGAAAACAGCATAGAATACCAAACGTTTCGTGACTCAATCATAAAAACATTTTCAATTGTAATTAAAGATATTCACACATTGTATAGCGAAATAGAAATCTTCCAAGAACTAGACATATAAGACGACCTCGACATATTTAATAAATGGGCAAAATATTGGAGAATTAAAATAAATCCAGATGAAACACAGGCAAACATTTTCACCCTACGACACCCCCTCACCCCCCTAGTTAACTATGAACAACGAAAATATTCCGTGTGCTATAAATAACACAGCTGCCCAGTATTTAGGAATGCAATTTGATACAAAATTAAACTCGAAAACACACAGTTACACAACAGGAACAAAACACAAGTAAAACTTTCCCAACTTTCCGCACTAATTAACAAAAAAATCCTCCATTAAAATTGAGACCGAAATGATAATTTACAAGTCTGTAATTCGACAAACTATGACGTATGCATGTTTAATACGGGGAAATGCAGCCAAATCTAATATAAACATTTTACAAACTACACAAGATAAAGCGCTAAGTACTATAATTAAAGCCCCACGGTTCATTTCGAATAAGTAAATCCATCACGAACTGCAAATTCTGACAATAATAGAACACATCACCAAACTGTCCGAAGACTTAATCACATCACTCCCCTCATCTCCCAGCATCTTCGTATTCAACCTTGGACGCAGAGCAAAACCGAACTTACGCATCAACTCTCGCTTTCCTAAAGGCAGATTCAGACCACCATAAAACAGAAGAAAATCGACCTCAAATAATATGACCTTTATCGAATAATCACGTCAACGATCATTCTCTGTATTCTCAATATACTTCCGTAATAATTTAAATCATTAAAATACCAAAAACATTTATCGTACCCGTCTAGGGCATCCACAGTAAGGAAATAAACCAAAAGTTATATATGATTCTATTCACAAACCTGATAAACATGTATGTTGAACAGGAAGACAATAAATTTAAAAAAGAAATACGACGACTAATTTGCTCGTGAAATTGTACGAGTATCATATTCATAATGGAAGTTCTAAATTCATAACTTTTTAAATATAACTAAAATTTTTTATAATTTTGATATTTGTGTCAATTAAAATGTAATATAATGTGTCATTATCAATTTTAACGCATGTTAACGTGTCACTAACAGGTCCAAATAAATAGTTTCATCCTTATAAAGATTGTCAATTGACTAATCTATGACGTTTCTGGTTCATTCTTTACAATTACCAGGATATTTCTTCATACTTTATTTTCGGATTTAGATAATAGATATCAACGAAATAATGTCATTTCTCAATCAAATTTCTACGAAATTAAACTTTATTCACTGCAAATATTTCACTCAAAATTATACTTGTTTCACATGTATAACTTGTTAAACTATTACATTAGGAATTTTGTTGTACTTTTTGCGTTCTAGACAAGAGGCTGAAAATAGATGACATGTTCATAATAATATTCAATTTGTCATGAAAGTGCAAGTTTGTGCGTTGCCCAGAGCTGATTGAAATATTTATTGAATACATATTTTGCGTGAGGTACTTTCAGTCTCACCAACGTCAGGTTAAACGTTACACATGGCAAAACTTCGTTCGTCGGCTATTCTAAACACTTAGTGCCTCTTCATCCTCCTGTAGCCGTAGTATATCCGATTTATTCATGAAGTAGTAACTGGGTTGCCTCCCTTTCTGAAACCAAACAAAAGTGGAATAGATATATTACTAGTACTTCGTATTATTTGTATTTTCTTTAACAGTATATTGTAATATTGAAATATATCAATTAAAAAATACGTTTTATTTAAATATTATATTTTTGCATTTTTAGTATGCCTAACACAATTTTCTTTTTATAATACCTCCGGTTGTATTTTAAAAATAATTTTATTGAAGTAAGTTATGGATTTGGAAACATATGATGCAAAATAATAAGAAAATATGGAAAAAATATATATATTTAGAAGTTAGTGTTTAAAATGGAAGAGTTTTAAGTCCGATGGAATAAAACTGTGCGTGCACGATAGTTATAGTGACGAGATAAAGGGATTACATGCTGAAAGGTTATGGAAGTATTGGGTATAAAAGAATAGAATACATATAACTAGAAAGATTTGAAATTGGCGAGTGGTTCCTAGTTGGATTTAATGCGAAGATGAATTTTATTTTGTAAATTAAAGTAATCGCTTGAGACGATCGCATGATGCGGGTGGTGAGAGCAGTGTGTGAATTAGTAGGAAGAAAGGTGCAGAATTGTTCTCTTGACTGATAATTGTAAAATGTTTCCCTGCCTGGGAAAAATTATTTGCCTCTCTACTTCCTTGTAACTAGAATATGAGCTATGGTAATCACTTCACATTCATATTTTCAGGGTTTTACCGTACTGGAGTTTGAATACCTTCCATAATAAAGTTTGTAAGGGATTAATGAATTAATTTTTACTATTTTATCTTGATATCATGTAGAAAATGTTTGTTCGTACAAAAGTTTGTACATGTACTGCCTTATCAAACTTTTTTGTTTTCGACTTAATAATTATAAAACTTTCAGTTAAATTATGAAATTCTACTTGTATAATTTTAATAAGCATTATTTTCTATCAATAGAAGTTACACTACTTCAATTAAGATGCGCAGAAGCTTGGAGTATTGGTCGAATAACAAAAAATCAAACGTTCGAAAACTCGAGAATATCGCATTACATCGTTTTCTTCACATGGCAAACTCAACAAAATGTTTTTATGAGAGACGTATTTTGCATGAAAATGTCGAACTCGTTTAATATACTTAGAGGCAAAAGAATTATTGGTGTACTTGAAAATGATGTATTTAACAAAACGTCCAAATATTGATTTCACTATAACTACCCAGAACGCCTCATGTTTTATTTGGATGTCAATACGTGAAGCAAATTGGCAAAATAATACTCTTTCAATGCTTGATTAGTAACTGTGTGTGAGTGAAATGATCGATTGAATATTCCGTGTCAACGGCATTATCCCAATCCGCGCAGTACATATTATATCACTGGTTGTTTTCGCGTTCCTCCTCGCTAGAAAGCGAGAACCAGCGCCGACCTACATGACAGCGTGTGGAGATGTTGATCAGTGATATCACACAAAAATCTATTAGAGCAGACCACCGCTAGAATTATTCTTCGGAAATAATTGATAATTGGCCTAGCTTTTTTGCTAATGTCGGAAATCCGGTGAGGGTCAGGGTAGAAGCAACTGCTGTTGCCCTTCGCCATTTCGGCAGAAATTCGTATTGAAAGGAATAAAATTGATTTATTAGTAATTTAGGATGCGTCAAATTCTAAAGGCATTAGTCCCTGCTTTTTTATGGCGCAGTGCCTGCTTTTTATGGCGTGAGGTGGCAGTGATATTCCCCCGCTGAACGGTGAGATCCGACGCCGGTTGGAGGGGTTTATCTCCTACCAGCGGATACCCGCCACAGCATGGACAAGCTCTAATCTTTTGTCTGGTCTCGTAACATGGGTGGAGGTGTAGATCATGTATGTATAAGTGTGTGTAAGTAAGTGGTAAGGACAGTAAGAGGAAAGCTCGCGCGCGGTCTGTGACCTGTTTGTTAGGGTACTGTTCCAGCATTCGCATCGTGCTGACCGGAAAAAAGGATGGTAAACTACCAATCAGAGGAGCCGACCGGTAGAATTCTCCTCCAGACAGTGGCTGAATTCGACCTAGCTATGTAGCTGGTGTCAAAAACTCTGCAACGGTCAGCAGTGGAACCCTAGGACCTCCCGGTCAGAGGTACTGCAGAGGCATCAATTAATGACCGCCTAGGCCGATGTGGGGTGGCGGGATGGGGTGGTGAGGGTGGTGAGGGTGGTGAGGGTGGTGAGGGTGGTGAGAGTGGTGAGAGTGGTGAGGGTGGTGAGGGTGGTGCGGTGTTGTGAGGGGTGGTGAGGTGTGAGGGTGTGAGTGAGGTGACGTGGGTGACTCACCAAGGTCTTGAAGTACGCGCTTGGGCCGCGCGATGCGATGGCGCTAGTGCTCCACGCGTTCCCGCCCATGCGTATGCAGAGCCGTGCGCTCCAGCTGCACTACAAGACACACACGTCCTTCACTGGAGGAACGCACAGCGCATTGGCGCATCCCAGCCCCCCCCACACACACACACACACAGAAGCTCATGTCACATCCTCACCTATAAAATATTCATTAATTATCTATTTTATGAAACTCACACAATTGAATTCGTTATACGTTGCAACAATCTATAAATAAACAAATAAAAACACATTATTTTTTACTGACACGTTATTGGTTGTTATTGATTTCTATTCGTAGCTCGATATATACTGCATAACTTATCTGGATTGAGACGATCGTAGTTACGTAGGAAATATAAAAACGGTTGAATGATGTTACTTGAATGCTCTTTTGGGGGGAATTGTGGGAGGTAAATATGAAAATGTGTGTGTCAAATAAACTAGTTAATTAGTAAGTACTTTTGAATCAATATTTTTAGGTAAAAACTAAAATCTGTTTATGAATCTCGTGGCAAAGATCCTCGCTCTTTTATTGCCGCCCGATCGTTACAGTCCATTTAATGTCCTTTGTGAGTAAAAAATTATCTTAAATTCAGCATAAATTCCTTATAAGAAAACATCAAGTTGACTACAATCACTACAGTTTTCTCCCCTTCATAAATATCCTGAATGCGCCACTGTACAAAATCGATGCCAACCTGTAGGTCTATTATAGGTCAAAAAAATTGAATTGGGTCTTTCAAACATGCTGATACTTCAAACTTTACTCAATGACACATTTTCACAAATATAGGTTTCACTAATTTTCTACAGTCATTTTTACAGCCAGTGAACTAAATTCGTTGTACATTATAAATAACTAAAAATAAAAAAATTAAAAGATTTAATTAATCCTATGAGAAAAATTCTTTGTAAGAAAACATCGTTTCGTCTGGACACTACTCGCCCCTTATTAAAACAAATATAGTTGCGTCACTTTGGAGAAGTGATGCCAAAACTGCACGTTCAATAGCGGAAAATAAAAATTGAATCGGGTATTTCGAAAAGACTGCATGTACATTCTGGTGACGAAGAATGAGAATGAAAGAAAATGAGTCAAGCTCATAATTTGATTAAGAATATACCTTTAGCTTTGTTTTATGTCGAAACTACACATATCCGCTGTTATTGCTGTATGTAATACAATCAAGAGCGATTCTATTTTATTTCTAATGTACCATTTCTCTGGAGATGGGGCGTTTTTCAACAACGCGCGAACGCTGAACACTGAATGGAGCTACTGCGTTTCGGGAATCATTTCATAAAACCAATTCATTAAATAGTTTTCTCACTTAATAAAAATGATAAAATGGCAAATTTAAAAACATGAATTTAAAATATGTACAATGTGTCAAAGTTTCTCAGATTTTTTGTCCATAACTTCAGGCCGTCATCAACCTTTCTCTACATCTCCTAGAGTTAATACTAAATCACATTGCAACATCAAAGATGAGTTACTCTAACGAGCCTACGGGAGGCCTTATAGAAATATTCCCTTACCCACGCACATTTTCTTGAGCCCCGGAATACTTAGGCCTTTACTAATTTTAGCTGAATTAATAATAAATGACAGCAGTGAGTGTTGTTGACAAAATCTGATAACAAGAAATGTTTGCTCCCGTGTTGTAGAAACTATTTGATTCGAAAAACGAGCAACATATTAAATTTATTAGTCCTGTCTTTAAAAGAATCAGAATCCGCTCTCTTCTCGTCGAAAGGAGTGCTTAAGAAAACGTGCGTGGAGGTGGGGGGGGGGGTTCATTCTCCTCGCAGAGCGCGAGAGCACACTCACGTTGTCGCCGACGCGCAGCGTGTGCGGGAAGCGCGACGCGATCAGCTCCACGGACGATGCGTCCTGGCGCAGCACGGCGATGTGCAGGCTGCAGCGGCCGAAGGCGTTCTTGGCGGCGGCCAGCATGGCGGCGCCGCCCTCGCGCCCCGACAGCAACTCCGCCGCCGCCCCCGCGTCGCCCCGCCGCAGCGCCGCGTGGAGCTGCTCGCGCCGGTCCTGCGCCCGGCGCAGCGCCGCGCGCTCGTCAAACCCTCCGAACGCAACTCCGGCCACGAGGCCAGACAGCCGAGGCCGCTACGGCCGGGAAGGCTAGCCTCGGCCCAACTTTCTTTCCGCCTCAGGTCTACGACCTGAGGTTTTGGGGTATATTTGAAGGGTCATACCTTCTAAACCATTAAACATGGAAGCTAGATTCTTTTTATATTTTAAAGAAGCAATATTTTAATTTGATATGAAATTCTAAGTTTTATGTTTACATTAATAGTTAAACATTTTTTTAACATCAATAACACAAGAAATTGAATTCAAAGACAGTTTAACATTTTTATTTTAATTAAATTTTTACAAATTCTGTTAATATTATAACATTAGACATAACATTAGATTCGTGTCCATTGTAATAATGAAGAAAACATTACTTTTTTATTCACAATAATTGACTTTGGTGTGGTAATTTTGAAAAGCGCTCCTTAGGCGTCACTGCAGACGGCATGCACATTCGTGTATTCCAAAGCTATTTAATAACAACTAAATGGCAGCAAACAAAATCTAGCGGTGTTTTAGGTACTTTATTGATGCAAAAGCCACCGTAAATAGTCATCAAACGGAAAAATAGCGTAGTATTAGGAGATATATAGTAAGAATCACGCGCCCATGCATTGTACGGGCGTCGTAATTTAAGGCGACCTATTGGCGCACGTAATTATTCGAGCAGCGACCTGACTGTGGTAGTTCCGGCACTGCCATTACATTACCCTTCGATACACCGATGCCTGTTACCTTACGAAATCTGTTTTCGGGGTTTCCTCCGTGTTGCTGGACGAAAAGGAAACGCTGGATAGCGAATGCTGGAGAGATCGTCAATCTCTCGACGACGTTTATCGCTCAAGCGTTTCTATTAAACATCTTAAGCGCATTATTTATTTCCACGCTGCAGTGAGTATTCTAACTATACGTACAAATTCGTATGACAGACTTGACGACGAATTTTGAATTCAAATTCGAGCACACAAGAAACTCGCAAATCCCTGAATAGTTGTACAATTGATATTGCGCAACCACAGAAGTGATGTCTACAAAAATATTTTATGTATTGTAGTAATTAAAATTATGTATTAAATTATTGTCTCTTTTGTAAGAGAGCTCACGGTGCTTCTCACAAGCTAAACACATCAAAATTACCAGAAATCGTCGCATAGAGCGTGTTCCACCGATGCCCCTGAGAACATTAGGGAATGAGCGTTATCGATAGTTTCAGTCCTTGACCGGGACCTACGTAAAGATTTCACAAGCAGGTAAGGAACGTGCACACCCTCCGATACCACGAAAGCAAGTAAGCAGTCGCCACTCTACTCCCAACACGTGTGGAAGTAGAGTACTAGGAAGTATCCTGTCGAGTCGGCATGCCGCATGACCACCATGGTATGTTCTGGGGCCCTCACCTCGAAGGCGGGGATGGACTCAAGCAGCTCGAGCGTCTCGTGCTGCTTGCGCTCGTCGGCCACCGCCACGATGGAGGCGCCGTCGTCGTCCTCCACGTCCACCAGGTGGTCGTAGCCCTCCAGCAGCAGCTCCGTCAGCCGCTGCGTCTCCCCTGCGGCAACGCGGCACCCTCGCAGCGCGATGCTCGTTGGCGGGGGAGGACGCGCGCGCGACGGCAGGGGAGGGCGCATGGTGCAGGTCGGCATGAGGGCGTCATGTTTAAGGTGTAACGCACATCCGCAGGAGAGGCTTATTACACAAGACGCGTGTAGCATCCGTCAATGAACGCGGAAGGGACAAAGGAAGGCAGGGAGAGAGAGAGAGAGAGGGGGAGGGAGAGAGGGAGGGAGAGAGGGAGGGAGAGAGGGAGGGAGAGAGAGGGAGAGAGAGGGAGAGAGATGGAGAGAGGGAGAGAGACAGGGAGAGAGATGGAGAGAGAGGGAGAGAGACAGGGACAGAAATGGAGAGAGAGGGAGAGATGGAGAGAGGGAGAGATGGAGAGAGGGAGAGAGAGAGAGGGAGAGAGGGAGAGATGGAGAGAGCGGGTCAGATGGAGAGAGAGAGAGGGAGAGAGGGGGAGAGGGAGAGAGAGGGAGAGAGAGGGGGAGAGAAGGAGAGAGAGAAATGGAGAGGAAAAATGGTGATTGGAGGATAAAGGAGAGTGGAAAGAGTGACAGATATTATAAGAAGGAGGGAGGGTAGCTCATCGTGCGTAGAGAGGTACGGCCCTCTTTTGGGGTTCCAGGAGGAAGCCTGAGATAGGGCGTCAGGGAGGAAAGGAGGAGGGAGACGAATTAGGTGGAATGTGTTCGGGAGGAAGAGGGGGTGGGAGGAAGAAAAAACGGAGTAGCTCACCTTACGGGGGAGTAGCATTCTTCATCTACAGCCCCGGGAGGAAAGCAGAAAATAAGTACGTGCGGGTGCCGGCGAGGTCCCTGTGGGTCTGCGGACGTGGGAGGCACAGCACGCAGGGCGAGCCAGTCATTTGTTTGTTACCATTTGTAGGCAATAATTAAGGGAGTGACGGAAGGCCGTGGTGTGCGGCACAAGCGCTGTCGTAGGAAAAGGGAGTGCTAAGAACAAACCACACGAGACACTCACAGGTCATCTACCTGTGAAGCCGACAGACGGAGAGGCAGGCATATTAGAGGGTTCAAATGCCGTGGTATCTACCCTCCTGTGAGGGCTGGAGAGAGGTCAATGGAGGTGGCGGGGTGTGAGCGTACTGTGAGCTGCGAGTTTCAGCACCGATCTCTGACAGGGTGAGGGAAAGATGAAGGAGGCGGCGGGGCGTGAGCTTACCCTGGATGGTGAAGTGCAGCATATATCTGTGAAGGCAGGAGGGGAGGATCAATTGCGAGAGGGAAAAGGGAAGGAGAGAATACCTATGGAGGTTAGACAAGCGGTAGAGAACAACACCCGTCTGCGAGGGAAGGATTGCTAGGGAGAGTGCGGGAGGCGTCGGAGAGTGGGCATGTAAGTGGCGCGTACGTGATAAAGTTGTATCTTTGAGGGCGTGAAGGAAGAAGCGAGCGAGATGGAGGTGGCGAGGTGTGAGCGTATTGCCAGCGTGGAAGTGCAGCACTCTTCTAGGAGGGTGGGAAGAAAGGAGGGAGGACGTGAAGGGTGTGCCCGTACAGTGCGAGATGAAATGCAGCACCCGTCTTTGAGGGAAGGAAGGAGATGTCGGAGAGGTGGGGATGAAGTGCAGCACCACTCAGCGAGGGCGAGGGGGAAGGATGGAGGGCGTGATGGGTGTGCCCGTACAGTTCGAGACAAAGTGCAGCACCCATCAGGGGGGGAAGGAAGGAGAGGGCGCGCGAGGCTTCGGAGAGGTCGGAATGAAGTGCAAGAGAGGGCGGGAGGGGACGAGGGGGGGGCGTGGGCGTACCGTGCGCGGCGAGGTGCAGCACCCATCGGTCGATGTCGCGGATGTTGTCCGGGTTGGCGGCCTGCGCGGCCACGTCGCGCGCCGTGCGGTACAGCTCGTCGCGGTAGCCCACGTTGAGGCGCGTCTCCAGCAGCAGCTGCAGCAGCGCCCCGCGCCCGTGCGGCCGCGCCGCCGCGAAGTGCAGCATGCTTTGCCCGTGCTCGTCCTGCGCACGCACCGCCGGCACGCGTGCCTTTCGTTGATGCACGGATTTGGCGTTATGGAGCGATTGTCCGACTTTGCTAACGGTGTCCCATATGCCTGGGACTAGTTTAATTAACCGCGCTTGATGGCTAAGAGACATGTTTCGAACGTGATCCCTTTCCGCAACTAGCAAACTCGGCCTGCCTGAGCTTTGCTTCGTCACACCTACAAATACTAAGACAATTTAAAGGAAGGCTACAACTCTATTTGACTCGCCCGGGAATCGAAACCTGGACTACTCAACGAGAAGCTAATACGTTGCCCATGCACCATTGTAGAGGATTGATTGTAGTGGATTGATTTACTATTGTTTCATGTCTCCCTGCGCATCAACTGCTATGCTCATTAGTTCTGTGAGTGTAGTGTTTAATTTATGAAGATGACAGTGTTCCGTCCCGCTGGATGGCGAAATCCGGCGCCAACATACAAGTTTTCTCACAGGTTTTTCCCATCCAGCGGAGCATCACCCCAGTCTTGAGAAGTTCTAAACTCCCAACTGCCCTACCGACCTGTATGTTAGCGTTTAAAATTTAGTGTTCTCGAAATTGGTTTCAGCTCATTCGATCGAGCGAAACTGAACGAAAAACCTGATGGAACGTTTGGATGCATCATTACGATCATGATAACAGCAACATTAGGATCTTGAAGTTCATCCTACCCAACTTGCTAAACATTAGAAAGTATTTTCATAAAGTTAGTACTTCTAACTTAATGACTGATGCTGATGCACGCGTTAGAAAAAAGGGAAGTACAGAATATTTACAGTATCAACTAGCTTTGTGATTTCTAGGTGGCGGATTTTATGAATTGTCATTTTTTCTTTTTACTTTAGAATAATGCCGTTTCGACTAATAAATAATGTTTTACATTTTCCATAACAGGTTTTAGATAGGGGTCACCGGACTGACCTCTTTCTTTTTTTATTTCTTTTTTTTTTATCGAAGCCTTTCATCGGAGAGTCCGATCGGGGCGTGTGCGGCGTGCGGCGTCTCACCCGCGTGGCGCTGCTGTCGGCGTCGTCGGGGCTGGGCGGGCGCCCGTCGCCGTCGCCGTCCGCGTCCTCCTGCTCGGCATCCAGGCGCAGCTGCTCG